AAAGTGTTACTTCCTGTTTGGTGTGAAGGGTTAAACTGGAGAGCAGTGGTTCCTCCTCATGGACAGAGCCTCCGGCTGAGACTCTTAATCGATCACACCTCCAGCAGCAGAGTTCAGCCTCCTGCTGCTGGCTTCTTTAATCAATCACCTTCTCCGGGGAAACATTCATTACATCTGCAGACAGACGGGGAAAGAGCAGAGGACATCCGTCATGCTGCAGGAGCGTAGAGAACCTGCAGGTTTCTGTTCATAACATGAAATATGTTGCTTCCTTTTGTACCAGGAGGTGGAAGAAGGACGACTTCCTCTCACGGCCTCGCTGCTGATCAACGACGATGAAGACGATGTCTCTGCTGAAGACTTCATGATAAATATTCTCATTGTTTTCTCACACAGACGTGACGGATTGTTGGAGCCGAGAACAAATGAATCTACCGGCAGATAAAATGTCCTCTCTGTGACCGAGGAGTGAACAGGAAGTGACCACATCCGGACTGAGGAGGAGTGATGTAGAGACGCCGTATACGTCTCTGGTAGAGACCTGTCAATCACCGTGTAGCCCCGCCCTAAAGCATCCCCTGCTTTATGGTCTGTTTGACTCTAAATGGACCATAATGTACTAAATGAACATCATGCTGTATTGAAGAAGACTTGAAACTAGAGATTGAGACCATAAACTCATGTTTACAATGTTTACTGAGGTAATAAATCAAGAGAGAAGTAGAGTCATTTTCTCATAGACATTCTGCAGAGGAAACACAGCTAATAACTCAGGGAAACATGCAAACATCTCATAAAATGTGTTTTAATGAGTTCTGTTTCTGCTTTGATTCCCAGAAAGAAGGCGAGACGAAGTCAATCGATGCCATTTAATCCATCTTACAACAGGTTCAGCTCTCCTCTGGTTGTATAGAAGTCTACATAGTCAACATATTAAATGACTATTAAAGAACCTTGAAAATAGTTCAGTAAAGAGTGAAACTTGAGTCCAAGGACATAAAGAGTGAGAGGAGGCGTTTTAAAGTAACACAGGGATTTCTCTCTTTGTCCTCGGCTGTCAGTTAATCTTTTGTCCTCTTGTTTGCCGTTTGCTTTTCCCGTCTGCATAAACAGACGGGAAAAGGACAGAGGGAATAAAAGAAGAGGATGAATCATTTCAGACCTGGGGGGACAGCTACATGGATAAAAGAAGGAGCAAAGTCATCGACAGGAGGAAGGACTGAACCGCCTCAGAAGCAGCAGATTGGCACAGCGAGGAAAAACCTGCACGGCCGCCAGGACCCGCTCGGACCACCTCGGTCCTGTTTCTGGGTCAGGACAGCAGAGGACACGCAAGAGGCCTTCTGTGGTCCCGTTCATGTGTTTACTGGGCCTCCTGTTAGTGTCACACTATGTTACAGCATGTTGAAGTATAGTCGGGCAGACCAGACACTTTGTGCTCGTTTTGCTTCTTTGCGGTTGTTTTTTCCGATTCTTTGCAGTCGTTTCTTCCGATTCTTTGCGGTCGTTTCTTCCGATTCTTTGCGGTCGTTTCTTCCGATTCTTTGCGGTCGTTTTGATTC